TTTTGTTACATTTTTTTTTTAAAAAAGTGTCCTTGAAAGTGGGCTAACTAGTCGACTATATGTTTTTTCGTTATCAACAAGTTGTAAAATCCTTGTTTTATAAATATAAGGTTATAGTTCTATCATATAACCATTTTTGAAAGTATTTTCATTACACCCAGTGAACATGTATTGGATCCAAATCCAAGCCTTTCACCTCACATAATTAATTACTATAGATAATAACATTAGCTCGATATTGATACGTGGCACTGATCCAAAAAACAGCATTATCCAGTATGTTGAAGAAAAAAAAATGATATAGTTTAAATTAGCCGGATTTTAGCTACTAATTAATTCCACCACATATATTTGTTTTCTTCTTATTTAATGTTGTGGAGGTCGGCTTATATTTTTACATGAATTGAAAATTGGAAAAGTGTAAACGCGTGAAAAGCCGATTGTAAGTTTGTAACGCTCTCTTGCTTTTTGTAGATTTTGTTGTTTTACTATAAAAACTTGGAGAAGATAAAGCTTTTTGCTTTTTTATTTTATTTTTATAACCAGAGTAAATATCATATCTATGGAGAGATCCAGACTATTATCTGGAGAAAGTGTAGTCCACGGATAGACTTTCTTTCTGGATATATAAATGGACCGAAATCAAGGATCCATATTTATACGGATGTCCAAAACAATATGTTTTAGTTTCGCGCAACAAATGAACCGAATTTGAAGCGTATTGATGCCAAAAACCCTTCTCCTTACCGCTAGACCACAAGGTCCCAAACACTTTTTGCTTTTTGTTAGTTTAAAAGATAAATTTATTGGTCGGTCTATCAAATAAATCACATTGATGTATGGCTTTTGTTCATGTTTATTTTTTATTAATATGGCTTTCTTGGAAGGCACCCTGTTCTAAAACGCGCCGCGAGGGCCGTTTAATCGCCAAAAAATCGCACGGCGGAGTAGAGCCACCGCGATTTCATCCAATTCGACCAAAAACGCGAAGAACGTAAAAAAATTTGATTTTTTGTTTTTTAAAGTACTGAAATCGAGTTTATTATAATAGATCTCCAATATATGAGTGAAAAATATCAATTAAAATGAAAAGAACTGATGCATTGAGTGGTGGCCGCGTATTTGAGATTCGCAGGAGAATGCAATAACAAAATAGTTGCGTTAAACAATTAGTCAAGTGTATATACGATAAGAGAACATGTTGTATAAGAAGAACAGAATGCAATAACAAAATAGTGTACCAAGTGGCCTATTGATCTTGAGACTTCAAAAAGAATTTTCAACGTCACTAGTTCAATTTCACTTGGGAGGGATGATTTACTCCTTAAACGTGGTGTTATCAATGACTGGTCCTGAGTACCGAAAAAATTATGGATCAATCTGGAACTCTAACGGTTTATAAAAAAAAAGACAATAGGTTATAGTAAAAACATTGATCAGCACGTTTTTTTAAATTATATAAAAAAATTAAAAATTAAGTTTTTTTATAGATTAAAGATCCAGAACTCCAACGGTTTATATAAAAAGAAAAAGACAATAGGTTGTGGTAAAAAAATTTGATTGGCACGTTTTTGTTTAATTTTATGAAAAAACTAAAAATTAAGCTTTCTTTTTCAAAATTTTTACTGGAGTTATTTTAAAACGCATTGACATTCTCACCGTTATATTCCCAACCATTCTCTAATCCAATCGTTAGTCAAGACATATTTTATAACATACTATAAGCGTAGGTTTAAAACCAGACAAGACTAGAAAGGCACAATCTCGTAAACCACCAATATTTAGTGACACAATAGTGACAAACATATTTTTGTTGTTTGCATACTCATTAGGGCACATCTCGTAAACCACCAATATTT